ACGGGGCTGCAGTTTTTGTTTGTTCCTTGTTGTTGTTGTTGTTGCTGCTGTTGGTGCTGCCGCTGCCGCTGCCGCTGCTGCTGCTGCTGCTGCTGCCGCTGCTGCCGCCGCAGCTGCTGTTGTTGTTCCACTACGACAGCTTCTACATTTGCTATTGCTGATGCTAACCTCGGCCGGCTACTGTAGCCCGAACAGAACCAACACCACATCTGATAACAGTAGTATCGTTCACCAGCGCTACAGATACGAAAAGCATTTCGACCAGCATCGTCGTCATCAGTTCTCATGATCGGATCCTCATTCTTCGCTGTCGCGTCATCATGCATCACCGCCGGATCATCATGAACAGCATTAGCATCACGGTCATGACTCAAGCATCATCAGCATTCTGCTCGTCCCCCTTACCGTTCTTATCAGCATGACGCCATTCATTCAATCTCCTGAGGGTAAAGGAGCTTAGGTTCAGAGAGCTTGAGACTCCGGGCTTCCAAGGTGCAGTCGCCGTTTCACAGGAGCCATTTGGGCGAGAGAGTTGGAATGTTTGGAGCCCCTTGCAACTTCTAGATTGCACTTTTTCAGTGGGGGAAGGGCTTATTGAGCCTGCGCGGCTGAAATTCTACAAGGCGCCGCGAATCGCAACGAATCTAAACACTTTGCGGCATCAGGACGGCGAATCACGCTGTTGTCTACGCCCGCCTGATCGTGGCAGGCACCGACGCCGCAAACCTGGTAGGTTTTGGAGGTGAACGGCCTTGCCTCTACAAGGTCAGCCAAAGCTTTCTAGCTCAGGCGAGGATGAAGAGAGCCCATAAAATCAACGCCTTCGCCCTCAACCTTAAGCTTTGAAGGGACATTCGCCCGAGATTTCTTCCAACCAGGCGCCAGTGGATGCTACAGCAGGCAAGACTGGGCCCTCCCAGTAACCTATTACTATACTGATGCAACTCCTGAAAGTCCCCTACATCGATATACAGCGACGCTCCTGGAACCATCTTCTGAATGGCTCGGTCAGTAGATCCCTTATCAGAGAGCCAGTCAGTGCCGTAAAGTATTCTTTTGTATCAGGCGAAGACCTGGGCATCCACAACTTCATGGCCCCCGGGATCGCAGGGGGAGGGCCGTTCTTCGAGGAGAGCCTCCGGGAATGAGAGAACGGGGGGACGGAGGGCTCCGGCCTTCCCCCAAACCCAAAGCCCTAAAAACCCTAAACCCCTAAACCCCTAAACCCTAAACTCTAGAAGGCCCGTAGAAGCCAAGCGGATCTCAGGTGCAGATCCGAGACTTGCAGACGCATGAGCCACTCCCCGGCGTGCGAGTCGGCGACATTGGGCCGAAGATCGGCTACAATAACCAGGCCCAACAGCTACTCTGAGGGTTACTATGTCTGATGAGAGGACTCAGAGTGCAACCGTGTGGACACAGGCCAATCTCCGATGTTCTCGAGCCGTCTTTTGCCAGAGGCGCATGCCTCAACTTGGACTAGTTTTCAAGATTGCTGATCCTTGGCAGGACAACGGCTTCTGCCAGTTCAGCCACGTGCGCATTCCACGGACCAACATGGCCATGAGGCCTCTTCAATCCAGTTGCATGATTCCGTGGCAGCGTTATGTTGAATATTGTTGAATGTGACGAAGACTTCCGCCCGTTTGCGTCAATGCTCCTAGAGTGGTGTCTTCGTGGTTACTATGACCATGAACAGCGTGTGCACTGCCAGTAGCTGCGAGTCCTGCAATATTGCGCGTCCGAACGCTCCAAGTCGAGCCACGGCAGGCATGCGACGCTGGACCGCAGGGGACAGTACTCGTCTAGAAAGGAGCGGCGCGCGGCCAGGGGCCTTAGCAAATGAGAGTCGGATCCTTCTACCCTGCGACCCTGATGCTGACGCTCAACTGCCTGAACTCCAACTAGTTAGCTCTCCTAATCTTGCGCCCAAAGACCCCCAGATGAAGCGGTACCCTCTAAACCCTGGACTCTAATTATCTCCCTGATCTGATCACCCAGCTCCTAAATCTTCAACCTGAAGCACCAAAACTAAGCTGTACCCTCGAGATTCAGGGCACACTGCATTGCAAGGAAGTGGCTTGTGCATGCACGTCGTAAGCACGTACGTGCTTGCGTGTACGCACACACACACACATGAATGCCTACGTAGATACGTAGGTACACGTACATACATACATACGCACATACATTTATACATACATACACATATCCGTAGATGTCTATCAACCGATACCGACTGGAGTTTCCTTCGGATGATGCTCTTGTCGCCGAGGCGTCCTATTCCGCCATGACGAAGGCCTCTACCAGGGGAGTCATCAGACGTTCGTACTTGGATGTGTGACAGTCGGAAGTAAACAGACGAGGTGGACATAGTCGACAGTGACCGTATATGTGTGGAATGCACCGATAAAACCAAAAATGCATTGGGGATCAATGATAGTGAGACTACTGTAGCACACCATGCAATGCTACAAAGTACACATGAACACAACCGTGACTACACAGCAAGCAACACTGCATGCTTCTTCATGAAACACATGAAAAAACCAGTACTGGTAGCAGTCTCTAAACATGCATTGTTTCAGTGCTAGACAGTGACAAGTACCACGTATGCCCAAATCCCTGCACAAATTCTTCGGAGGTCTCCTGTTTATGGTGTGGGGCTGCTTAAATTGGGCCAGTTGTTTAAGTAGACACCGATATACCAACAGCGGTGCAAACGGGAGTATACTGACTATAAGCTGCAAGCAGTACTAGTGACGACGTTTACGCAATTGGTCGCAGCAGCAGTACTCCCAGTAATTGTCGTCCTCGATAGATTGACCAAAACACGTACGAAGAATACTTGCACTTGACCCCGTACTGATATGGTCAGGATATGCAGAAGGCTTCATGGTTGCGAATTACTGAGCCGCGCCTTCTAGAACAGAATACGATTCCAAGCCCGAGAAAAGCCGTCAGGTGCGTGTGGAGATTGCCATGGGCAGCGGCACGGGCCTCTTCCGGTCATGGTCGTTTCGGCTTAGGTCAAGAACTTTAGGGCTTGGGTTCTGCGGTAAAGGGGTTTGTTCGGTTTGTTTGATTTTTTTTTGAGTCGTGTTTTCCAGAGGATGCCCAAGCTGATGTTTTGAGTGTTTTGCTGCACATTGGACATGGTAAGGCCACGTTCTCAGCAAGGCCTGCGCCATCGCAATCCGGTACTCTGCTGTGCGGCACCAAGGATTTACAGGCCGGGCAAGGGAAGAGTCCTCAAGATATTAGAGGGCATGTCACCGTCCCAGGCTCCCTCGTAGGCACGACGAAAGGGGCAGCAGATGGTCCCGGCTGAGCCCCTGGAGGCAATGGTGATGGCTCAGAGATGTGCGTGCTCGATTACACGATGCAGCAGCAACGTCTGTTGCCCTTGCTGGCCACAGCCTACGCTTTCCATTTCGTGCTTTGGACTGCACTAGGTTTGCAAGAAGATGTTTGCAGGGCCATGCGAACCATTCAGCATTGCTGCTAGTAGGTAGGGCTGGGAGTGGGAGTCTGGGCAGGAGTGAGGTAGGGCGATCCATTGCAAAATCAGAAACTGAGCCTTGAATCAGAAACTGCGCACGAGACACCAGCGCGTATCAGAAACTGGAGCTTGGAAACTGGCGCCGGAGTGCATCCATGGGAAAAACCATGATGACATCCATGGTCGCTTGCGTTCTGAGAAGAGGGCATCCTTGGCCCAACCATGATAATATCCATTCTTACGAGAGAGCATCCATGGTCCAACCATGACAACATCCATGGTCTAATGCGTTCCGAGATATTCCGAGCACAGAGCATCCATGGGCCAGCCATGATAGCGTCGCGCGTCCATAGTCAAACGCGTTCTCAGAGAGAGCATCCACGGCACGACCATGGTGATGTCCATGGGCGAATAAGCTGGTTCGAAAACCATGACGGCTGATTCAGGAACCAGACTGACTGATTCAGAAATCACACCATGATTTGGAAACCAGAACGGCTGATTCGGAAACCAAACCGCATTGCGGGCCTGGAAGGGCTTGGAAAGGCTAAAATCTCAATGCTTCACTAGATTGAATTTCCTTAAGGACCTCCGCTTGGTTGGGCCATGGATGCTCTCTTCTCAGAACCCATTCGACCATGGCCTTTTCTTGGTTGGGGCATGGGTGCTGTCTTCTCAGAGCGCATTCGAGCATGGACGACGTTATCATGGTTGGCCCATGGATGCTCTCTCTTAGAACGTCATCAGGGTTGGGCCATGGATGCCTTCGTCTCAGAATGGTTCTAGTTTCCGAATCATGGCTGGTTTCTGAATCATG